CCTAATGATTTTTGGCATAAAAGAAAAATCGATGATTTTGACCCAAACAATATATTGTTGGCTATTGCTACAAATATAACCGTGCTGCTTATTACTTTTGTGATCCAGGGTCACATATAGAAAACATATATATATTAAGAAATTAAACTAAAATGAAAAAGAAAATATAAAAGTTAATTAAAATTATAATAAACTGCTCTTTTCCATAAAATTAATTAAAGTGAATGGAGACTATAACTATCAAGATCCACACAGTTACAAAAAACACAAATAAAGTGTAAACTATGTGGAACTCAATGTAGAAAACAATCAAACAAACAAAAACATATAGGTTAGGATAATAAGATGATGACAGATGATTATTTTCATTTTTGGGTGAACTGTACCTTTAAGATATCTCTCTCTTTGTGTCTCTCTCTGTAGATGAGTCCTGCAGGGATATGTACTATAACTGTGTGGTGGTAGTCCAGGCCCGTTTGTGTGTGTACTCATACTATCGCACCACATGTTGTGCATCATGCTCTCGGGTCACTCAGAGAGACACACTGCACAGAATCAGGTGATCTGGTTGTTCTTGGAATGTGACACCACTGCTCTCCTATCCTGAATTATGACGTCCTTGTCTCATCATGGCATCATCCCCACCTGTTTTCAGCTGGATCTGACATCACTGTTCATCTCCACCACTGTTCAAAGACTTACAGTATATGTTCACTGCTCATCTTTTTCAAAACACAAAATGACACTGCTCCATGAGCAAATGAGTATTTATTGCAAATAAAAACAACCGAGCCTCTTTTACTTCATTTATCATATTGATTAATGTCTAAAAATGAATTTAAAATTAATCTTCACATTTAAATGGCAATTTAAATGTCTAAGAGTATACATCTAAAGATTCTAAATGAACTCTTTACACAATAAATCATTAGTATTTATCTAAATATTAAATCTAAAAGTTTGCTTCACTGGTATTGTAGAGGAGTGATCCTATTTTGTTTTTATAATTTTTCCAGAAGTCCATATGTAATGTTAATCTTTTTTTTCTGATATGACCCCTCCAAAAGGCCATTTCAGTAAGAGCACAACAGACTTGCCTGCCGATTCTTACATGCTTTAGAATGTCCCTCTCTCACTGACCTGAGACTACAAAAATCACACAAAATCTGATGGTGAAGGTGAGTTCTAAAATGTAGAAAAGTTCACTGAGACTCTAATTGAAAAAAGTTTTAAAATGCTGTATACATACAGTCGTGAATAGGAATAGAATGAACCCATATTTCTTTGTTAGATGATAAAGTCTATTATTAATGAAGTTGTTATTGTTAATAATAGTAACTCATTAATAAAAATATGGGATTTATGGGAAAACATCCCAATATAGGAAACAATACAGAAAAACACTCTTCCAGTGAAAAGATAGAGATACAGGTGCATCTCAATAAATTAGAATGTCGTGGAA